CACAAATACACGCAAACACACGAGAAAAAGACTCAAAATCACCACAAAAAGACGCAAGGACAGCTAAATATGAGGCAAAAAGATGCAAAATCTGCACAAAATGAGGGAAAATTAGCATAATATGAAAGATCCCTACAAAGAGTCCAAACCAGCACAAAAAGGTGCAAAAAAAACATAAAATGAGGCAAAAAGCTGCAAAATCAGCACAAACACACCAGAAAAAGACTCAAAATCACCACAGAAAGTTGAGCTATCGTAAGATTTTATAGTTCTGTTTTTAGAAATCATAGGAATCTGTGCAGCTGCTCTGCTCTCAGTCTGTTCTTAACATCGCAGCAGAACATAACCAGGTCACCATGATGTCATAATCTGCAGATACTAGCATTTCTGTCGGCTAACAGGGCTGCAGGTGGAGAAAAAGATGCAAAATCTCCACAAAGAGACGCAAATTTCCCCCAAAAAGACGTAAAATCACCTCAAACAAAGTCAAAATCAGCATGAAAAGTTGTGAAAATGGGACAAAATCACCACAAAACACCAGAAAAGCTGCAAAAATCACAACAGAAACCTGTTAAATCATCACAGAATCACACCAACGAGTTCAAACAGTTGGCAGCACAAAGCTATTTCCAGAAATCATCTGTGCAGCTGCTCTGCTCCCCGTCTGTTCTTATCGTTTCTCTAAAAATTAATCAGGTTCAAATGATGTAACGAGCTGCAAACACTGACTTAATTACACTGATGTAGGATTTATGAAGGCTGACGAGGCTGCAGGAGGAGAAAAGACGCAAAAATCACCAAAATAAGACGTAAAATAATCCCAAAAACACGCAGCGGCGACGCAGAGAGGCTCAAAACTAACATGAAGACATGAATCCTGTTTGACTTTCTGAGCAAAAGCACCGTTTACATTCATACTGATCCCGTTTCTACCTGTGTTTCCACTTCTAGGACGTGTTCTTCTGCTCAGGTTTATATTTGTAGTTCATATTTCCTACTTTCTCACCTTGTACTTGTGCTCGGAGCGGTTCTGGCCGTGGCTCTTCAGGGACGTGAACTCGCTGCACTGGGGGCAGGGTTTGGTGCTGGAGTCCAGCTGGCTGAGCTCCAGGAAGTAGCGGTACTTGGCCAGCTCCTCGGCGGCCAGGTGGGAAACCACCACGCCTTCGTCCAGGCTGCCGCTGCACTCCGGGATCGGACAGCTGATCAGCGCTTTGGCCACTCGCACCTGCAGACACGTCACACAGGTGTTCAGGTGAAGCTGACGGCATTCATACGCTGCAGATACCAGATTTATATGTTGATTTAGGATTTATTTAAGGGCAATAAAGCTGCAGGGAGAAAATAAAAAAGATGTAAAATCATCACGAAAAGACACAAAATCAACATAAAAAATGATCAAAAACAACCAGAGAGAGATGAGCTGCATCTACCAGATGTATGTAGTGAAACAACACAACATGTGTGTCACGTAATACACTCTGTATAGATTTATTCACATGTTGGACTTCATTTGTTGAACCCTTGTTCTGGCGTTCTTGTAACCAAGATGGGCTTTAAGTGTATTATAGGAAGTATATTCAGAGAAACTGGACATTTAAACATGAT